AACACTTTAGTTATCACTATGTAAACTTTAAATTCTTACTAAATACCATAAATTATACTTATAAGTAAAGTTGTAGCATATATTTAGAGCTACAAATCAGTATATGATACTATATACTGATTTTTAATCAAACTCGAACCAGACTCGAACTCGTATAACGGTTCAGTTCGAGTTCGGTTCGAACTTCGAATCTTTCTTGAACTCAAGCCAAAGTCTGGTTTGAGTTTGGTTCGAATTTCGAACTGAACTCGAACTCAGGCAAAGTCCAGTTCAGTTCAGTTCATAGGAACACTAAAATGATGATAATTACAGTAATTGTAATAATTATCAAAATTATGAAAGTTATAGAAGTTATAAAAATTATGAAAATTATGTAGATTATGTAAATTATAAAAATTATGAAAATTATAGAAATTTTCAGTCATAATATTATTAAGAAAATGAATCTCTCAAACAAGATCATTTAGCTGCTGCTGGTTATCTTATTATACAATAATATGGAATCTTTACTCATGTCTTGAATTTAAAAGAACAATATCATAGAAGTGATTTATAATATAGACATAAAACTAAAGTAGTTGCTGCTAATATACTTCTTTTTAATTATATTATGAACTTATTTTCTACCAAAGTTATTAATAATATTGAAGAAATTTTTGAAGAATATAATTATTCTTAACTTAATAATTATAATTATAGAGCAACAAATAAAGACTTTACTATTTCATATATGAACAAAGAAATTCAGTTATCTTTTTCTCTTGGACTTTGCCAGACCTATATTATAATTAACTATGTAAAATATAATCATATTGATCATAATATTTTGAATTTTGCATTTACTTGTATTATCAAAAGAGAAATAAAAAATAATAATAATTCATCAATAATTGAAGAAGATAATTTTGAAGGAGGTAATTTTTTCTTATCCAAATAGAGTATTAAGATTAAAATAACAGCAAATACTCTTTGATACTGGACAAAAAAAGATGAATATAATATTATAGTTATTTTTTCTCATGAATATCAAGCTTGCTGATCTCAAAATTTGGCAAAATGAACAGTAATAACTATTAAAAAATGAAAAAAAGGAACTAAAGATTCAAATTATGTTAAATATTAACAAAATCAAATTGCTAATAATTCTTATACTACAGCTACTTTATTAATATTATTAAAAAAAGATGATAAAAATGAAAATAAATTAGAAAAAGAAGAATTTGGAGAATTTATACAATTAAGATATAATCGTAGAAAATGTTATTAAATTTTTATATATATATTTTTATATAATTAATTTTTTATATATATTTAATAAAGTTTTAATTAAATAATTTAACTTAAAATTTCAATTAGTATTATTTATCGATTATATATTAATTAATCATTAATTATATATTGATCACATATTAATCATACATTAATTATATTAAATCATTATCTAATTACTTTTAATTGCATATAGAGATTAATAAGATATTAACTGTGATTAGTATCTAATCATTATATAATTGTTATATAAATTTATTTTAATATAAATTGATATATTAACATTAATATTTAAATTAATATATTAGTATTAATATTTAAAGTATTAATTTTAATTTAATAGTTTGATTTTAATTTAATAATTTAACAGTTTGATTTTAATTTTAATTTAATTAATTTAGTTTTAATTTAGCAATTTAATTTTAATTTAGTAATTTAGTTTTAATTCATCAATATGATCAATTTGATTTTAATTTAGCAATTTGATTTTAATTTGTTAATTTGATTTTAATTTGTCAATTTGATCAATTTGATTTTAATTTGGCAATTTGATTTTTATTCATCAATTCAGTTAATTCAGTTTAGTTTTAATTTGTCAATTTAGTTTTAATTTGATTTTAATTTGTCAATTTGATTTTAATTTATCAATTCAGTTTTAATTTGTCAATTTGATCAATTTGGTTTTAATTCATCAATTCAGTCAATTCAGTTTTAATTTAGCAATTTGGTTTTAATTCATCAATTCAATCAATTTGATTTTAATTTGGCAATTTGGTTAATTTAGTTTTAATTCAGCAATTCAGTTTTAATTCAGTAATTCAGTTTTAATTCAGCAATTCAGTTAATTCAATTTTAATTTAGCAATTCAGTCAATTTGATTTTAATTCAGCAATTCAGTTTAATTCGTCAATTTGATCAATTTGGTTTTAATTCGACAATTCAGTTTTAATTCATCAATTTGGTCAATTCAGTTTTAATTCAGCAATTCAGTTTTAATTCATCAATTCGATCAATTCAGTTTTAATTTGTCAATTTGGTCAATTCAGCTTTAATTTGGCAATTCAATTTTAATTTGGCAATTTGGTTTTAATTCGTCAATTCGATTTTAAAGCTAAATATTTCAGTTTTTTAAAAATAATTTCAGCAATCATTTTTATTCTGACAAATCTTCATTGTTATTATATGTTGACCTATTTAAAGTAAAAAAATTTATTGAAATCACTTTAAGAATATCTTTTTATATAATACTATTGCAAAAGTATTAGCAGTTCTAAGAATTTATGACTATTTCAAAAATTTCTTTGAAGCATTAAACTATAAGAAGATTGATGAATATTTTAAACTGAATTCAATTAGAAAACTAAAAAAATGAAATAGCAATAAGTTCAAAGAATAAATTATTGAAATATTTTAACAAATAATAATGAACTTAGAAAAAATAAATTTAAATAACATTTTAGTTTAATTTATTATTTTTTATTTTTATTTTAATTTTTTATTTTTACTTTATTTTATAAAGTAAAATATTTAACAATGAGAGTTCTGTTATAATTAGATATTTTTTATAATCACAAATGATTATTGCATATAATTATTTCATATAATCACTTTAAATAATCACTCTGAATAATTATTCCAAATGATCATTTCAAGCAATCATTCCAACTAATTACAATTAAATTCCTTTATAATTACTATTCTTAGGAAAGCAAACTTTGGTAATTATAAAGAGGATGTGACTATAGAGAAATTTTTTTATTATGTTTATATGTAAATAGAAAAGCAAAATAGAGTGACTATAGAGAGATGTGACTATAAATGAGTATAACTATAAAGAGGTTTGATTATATCTCAAGCACTTCAAATAATCATTGCAAATGATTATTCCAATTGATTATTTCAAATATTTTGAATAATTATTCTAAATAATCATTTCATAATTATCAAATACAACATGTATTTTAGCTAAAAGTTAAACAAGTTTGAAATTTGAAGTTTTGAAAAGAAGTAGCTTTTAATTTATCTTTTTAATATTTTTTTAAATAACTTTTTATATAATCTCCCATCTTAATTATGAAATTATTATTATTATTTGATTTATAATCTTTTATCACTATTGTAAAGATCTCTTATAATATTTGTAATTGATCTCTCATCTACATTAGCAAAATCAATAGTGTATAATTGAATTAATAAAAAGAAATTATATTCAACTTGTTTATAAATCAACTTTTGAAAAAACACAATTACCTTTAAATATTTCTGGTCTCATTTTAGTTGACCAACAAAATGAACATATGTTATCTATCTTTAGATATTCATATTCTCTCTTATACTTGAAGCTATATATTATAAACTCTCACACTTGATATATCAATACGTGTTCTTTTATATATTTCTCTGTGACAAGACTTAAAAACATATAAAATGATAACAGTATTGATTCTTGACTTTGAAGTTTCTTTTATTTTATTATTAATCTTTTTTTTATATATCATTTCTACAAATTCAAGAATCTCAGCTGAATCATTATTGATAATGTCTTGTGATAAAAAGATTATGGTTGTTTCAGACTTTGTTAAAGATTCAGATTTCATCAAGCTATGTTCTAATTCAGGTAAAGAATCAGGAGTGATGTTTTTCTTCTCTTCACAATGGCTTTCAATAAATAACAGAATGAATAATAGTCCTTTAGATTCATCTTTTATTTCAGAAGAAATAATACTTTGTACTTGGATCTGGATATTTAATAACAATTTTGAATAAATTGGAGACTGCAAAATATCTTTTGTAAAAAGTTTCTCTTGTTCATTAGTAATGACTTGGACCTGCTTCTGTTCCAATTTCGTGATCCTGTCTTTAAGCTTAGCATTCTCAGCAGTGAGCTTGGTGGTATCTGTTTTGTTTTTATTTTCTAGTTCTTCGAACCTGATCTTAAGTGTAACATTTTCTTCTATAGCTCGTTTTAATCTTGTGTTCTCGACCTTAACTTCAGCATTCTCTTTTCTAAGTTCATCAATCTGAAGAACGAGCTTAAGATTTAACTCTTTCAACGAATCGATTGGGAAATTCGTGCTTGCCATTGTTTTACATAAAATATTAATTATTCAAAAGCTTATTCATATAAAAAAATATTGGTTCGTAAAAACGCGTTAACGCGCCTTCTCTTCATTGATTGTAATGAAATCGAAAAGAATCGCATCTATCTATTGTTTTTATACTATTATATGTTATAAATACTATCTATGCTATTATATTACATTTTTTTTATTACGTGAATCATTCTCAGTAGCCTCTAGTGGCGACGCGTAGACAATAGAATCATTTGTACGTTGAGACCCACCACGTTTAAAATTTTTGCTCGATTTATATAAAAATTCCATATGGGCCTGCAATTTCATGATACGGTCCTAATGATATAATAAGAAGTGCGTTAAGACTACTTTAAAGTAATAACCGAACCAATAGTAGGACTTATCACCTTAAATTTAATCATTATTTGAATTATATTGGATAGATTCTCCAGATCCAGTGATGTATCGGGAATCGTAAATCCATTAAATTGATCAACGAGATATATCCCGTCCACCCAATGCATCGAATATAAAAGAAATTCTTTTCCTAAATTATTAAAGTATATCTGGGATTAGTAAACATTATATAGAAAAAATATATCATTACATACTATATACGAGTAATCCAAAAGTTTCCAAATCTTCGAGACCTAGGGCCTTTTCAGGTAATGATTTTCGAAGGTTAAAAAGAGCCAATTGCATAGCTATAGGTAAAAATAATAATATTAGTGATTTTAACAAAAATAAAGTTATATTGAGCTCATTCTTTTACCTTTAAGCATTTTTTCTTTATCATCATTATATTTCTTGTCATCACGTTTGAAAGCATTTCCGATTACCTCTCCAAATACTATTTGAACCAACTTGCTTCCAACCTTCATAACTAGAACGGCATCGTGATACCAAGTTCCAAGACTTGATTTACGCTGATTCAAATTTCTTGATAGGTCCAGTTGTTTTTTTTCGGTCCACATTTTCGACTTCACCACTAATTGGAGATAAATACACTGAAAATAAAACCTTCTTAGAAAGTCAACATAATATGAAATTTACTTACGTCTTCATTATGGCTATGGCATTTACATCAAAGAAAAGTCCTTCCCAAATATAATTTATAACTCGACTTCTATACGCATATTCAGATGTATCCGGATCACCTAGAGGGTTGAATGGTGTCTGAAGGCACAATATGCTACCAATTATATATATTAGTAAAATTAGTTAAATGAAAAATTATAGAATATGGTTAAAGTTTCTTACAAAGCATTGTATACTGATTGTACCCATCGAAGATGATAGTCTCTTTCGAACAGATACAAATGCTGATCTTCAAACGGGCTTTTACAAATGATACTTTCGACTTTATTTAAGTCAACATAACATTTGATGGTGGCATCTCTTATACATTTGCTGTACTTCTCTAAAAGTAATTTTACGTTTTCATCAATCTGGGGAAGCGAGTCCGCGATCCTTTTTTCAACCTAAAAATAATATCCTCGTTAAAGTAAAAATAAAGCCAACCAAAAATAAGTAAAAAAGGTCCAACCTTTTCCCAATTCGATTCCATTATTGACCACTCTTCATCATTGAATAAGCGTTTAATTGGATTATGAACATTATCCTCCGGTAAAAATATAATCCGATATCTCCCAATACCACTTTTAATTTCAGCAAGTCTTCCGATAGCCAAATTTAACGAAGTCTAAAACGCAGATAAAGATTTATTAGATAACAGACAATAATGAAATATAAAAAGGTAGAAATTCCGGACCTCAACTAATGACAGCTCCTGGCAATATATGTTATCCACATCCTGTTCCGCCTCAAAATCTGTATCATGTTCATTTTTGTCAAGTGGAGATGGCGTAACAGCATGTACAAAATGGTGATCAATTTTTGTTATTTTTGAGACTTTATTGTCATCCTAAAGACTAAAATTATAGTTAATTCCGGCAAAATCACAAAATAATAATTATTAAAAATATATTAGACCTCAGGTGGTGTCAGCTCCTCATCTTCATATGCTGGGATTTCTTTCCTTTTGCGATTGTTAATAGTAGTGAGGTCAATGGCGATGTTCCTATGGAAATCCACTACTGTAGAAGTATGTTCTTGCAAATTTTTTGACTGCATCACAAATAAGGATTAGTAAATTTCAAAAAAAAATAAATTATTAATAAAAGATACCTTTATCTCCGCAAGCTGTATAGTTTCGTGACTTTTTATCTGCGTTAGTCGAATGGTTTCCTCGTCCTTTATTTTCCTCAGCTCTTGCAAAGATTTAAAATAATCGCTCTTATTTTTAGCAAGTTTCCAGGACTACAAAATTCCACAGTAAATCAAACTTTAATTTATTCATTACAATACGAGTTACTATTAATTCGCACATAAAAACTGTAGCGAACCAACAGTTCAACACCCAGACGACCAACAGTCCCGTAATGTGCTACAGAAAAATAGACACTTATGAACCATAGCGAACCAACAGTTCAACACCCAGACGACCAACAGTCCCGTAATGTGCTAATAGTTCATTATCAAATGGAAACCAGTGCACTTGCCTCTAGCTCTGTGTACATACAATCGGCCCTCATTTTGGCAACATCTGAGAAGGGAGCATCACGTATATCCTGAATCGCCTTTTTCATGCGGTCTAAAAGTTTTTTCTTATCGCATGTAACATTAAGGGCACACCACACGCTCAAGCCATCGAGAGACCAAATTTCTAGAGGTGTTTCAGCGAAAAATCCAGCCATCGTTTTATAAATTCGCGTAACTTGATTAAGGGGAAAAGAAAATGTTCGGCGTTACAATTTGTAACGCACGCGTGATTTTGCCAAGAATACCTTAAAAATCGCAAGAAATGCAACAAAAAATAAATCGCAGATGATGCATGCAGATTCTATTACATTCGAATTCCTTCTATGACACATATCACATGATAGGCTGATCAATTTCTTTATTACATAATAAGGTACTAAGTTACACAAGTTCTAAATTGTGGATATATTCATAAAATACATATATTTCTACGAAACTTAACTAGTCAAAGCTAGATTATTCATATTCAAAATGATTTATTATCGACATCTATTCCTTTTAAAATTATATAACTATTCATCAGTACAATTTATTTTAAAATTGATCTATATGCCCGATATATTCCAATTTACGTATTTCATATATTCTTATCCCTATAATCCTCGCAAAATATGACGAATTTATATAACTCATCTAATAATCCAATCTGCACAAAAAAATGAATTCAGATATTCTAAAGTATAAAGTTATCAAATCTAATAGATCTAAAATTCTTATAACATTATATTAATTTTCCTTACCAATGCATTGAAAGCCTAGCACTTTTATATCCGCACCTTTGTCAATAGATGAATCTAGGATGTCCTTCATAAACACGCCCAGGCGAATAAGATCATTACAATTTTTATATATATCACCTTTTTTGGATGGTGGACTAACTTCACCTACAAATATGGTGGCACTGGTCTGTAATTGAGAGACAATAGAAACTGTAAAATCTGGTTGCTTAGCTTGACCTTCAAATTTTCTTGCCTTGCTTTCATTTAAAGCTGTATTAGGCCATTGGACAACGTGCTTATCGGGATTATCAAATTGTCCTTTCATAATACGACCAAGAAAATTGGTGTAATGTGTTATTTCACTGTGTTCGTTTCTTATTTTTGAGGTAGGTAACGTTCTCAAGCAGTCCAAGATAACGAAACCCAAATTCTCTCTCAAAGATTGCTCGCTTGAGAGTTTTCCACATCACGCGACCCATTCATTGCCATTTTAACTGCTTTTCTGAATGTTGCTTCAGAATTCGAATCTAATATTTGTTGTTCTGGTGTAAATTTTTGATGAATTTCATCAAGCAGGGGCAATCCAAAGTGATCAATCATTGTATTGGAATAGGAATCTGGGGTGAGTAATAAAATTGAAGATAACGATAATATTTCTTGTACATTGGATTCTACGAATAAACCCTTATTCCTTGCGATATTTAACGACTGATTCCGATAATTCCGAAAAAGTAGAGACACATTAGTCTCTCCCACGTATAAATCATTTGCCGGGTCTCCATTTTTGAAAGAAATTCGCATGGAACATCGTCAATTATGATATCTTCCGCCTCAATGAATGGATTATCTTCTTTCGATGAATGTCTTATTGGACTTAGGTGATATACCGAATAAATCATAAAAGTTTGAGCAGTAAAATAAAGAAAACACATGTCAATTACCTGTTCATCACGGGATTGGTACAAACCGAGGAGGTCTTGATGTTGGATATTTGTGACGAGTTGTTGGCTCTGGTTTGTTGCTTTGAAGATGTGCAAGACACCATCAGTCTTACAAAGGAGTCATGTTAATCATTAGGATCAAACTGACAAACGCACCATGTCACAGTACATTAACTTACCCGTGCGATATTGATTTTATCTTCGTAGCATTTTTCCTCGATCCTTGTCCAGAAATTGAAAACATTTTCGGAAGATTTATCATCCTTTTTGTTAAAAAGAAAACTGACATTAGTATAAGATTAAATAACTTTTTTGAACTATCCTATAACCCATTAACCAAAAAAAAAAACCAAGATTAAGATGGACCATAACACGGGACGTAGCCTGACAACCGGTTGGGACGTAGCCATCCAGTTGCGTTATGGAAATAACACGTAGTCTATTCAAGGACGCCCGAGGGAAGACGTAGTTCACTCTCACCAGCTATGGTGGCTGGCTACTCGGGGGTTGTCAATATGTCACGTAATTGTCTCGGGACCGGAACATATTCTAGCCCTTGAACCCATCTCAATCTACAATAACATATATATACTTAACTTCAAACCTAAGAAGATATGTTCGAGCTTGATCATTGGCAAGCACGGTCAAAGCTCTCTTGTACAACCTATGCTCCTTTGTTTTATCGTATGTAAAATCGTCGACCCCTTTTCTGTATTGAAGGAACTTAAGTAGCGACCAAGTGACGTTATTCTTAAAAAACTTTTCGATTACTGCTTGTAATTCACTCGAATTTTCTTCTGTAGCTGTGGACATGTTGCTATTTAGACAAAAAAGAATAATAGCGAGAAAGATTCATGTTGATCGACCAATTACGCAACTGATCTTTAATTTCGCGTTTTAACACGCGCGTTATATGATCGACCAGCAATGCACATGACCTATATCTGTAACACATTCAATGATTGGCTGAATTCTGCATAACACCATCGCTATCTTGTTTTGAGGTTTGGCCCAGCAAAATTCTGGCTGGGACTCGCACCAACGAAAGGAAGTGCCAAATACTCACACCACCGCCATGAAATAAAATTGGAATCTGATCGCAACCTGGAGAAATTCGCAACACCAGCGAAACGAAATGGCGGCCAAACTCACTCATAACAACTAACAGCTTACGCGACCGGTTTCCAGTTTTGTTTCGTACCAAATTTCCTGTGTGAGTATTTGGCGTTCTTTCATTGTTGGGTGTCTAGTTTTTTCATTTCGTTGGTGCCGTCGCAAATTTCCGGTTTGGTCTCGCACCGGTTTGTATTACCCACATTTCTGGTGAATATTTTTGTTTAGATCAACGGACGGATCGTGAGGCAACGATATCTCGCCGATCTTCAGAATTTTGCGAACTCGAATTCGTTTGATTCGCCTAATCAAGACGAACATTCTTTGTATTCGGACCACAAAAATTGGTTGGGTATTGGGAGAAATATAAGCACCCAAAGTTGACTTATTTTTCTGGGACCGCCAGTGTTGGTTAGGGTTAGTAAGAGTTCCCGGTGTCCAGTTCCTCCGTGTTGATTTCGTCGCGACCGGATCTAGTGAGTTCTTTGGTGAATATTTGATGAAATGAGGGTCTTTGGATGTAAGTGCTCTTGAAAAATCAATTTTAACAATATCAACAACAATCAAATAAAATCTTTAATTGGTCAGTTTATTTTTGCTGTCAACAAGAACTGTACTAGTACTTTTAATTCAATTGGTGAGCCAACGCTATACAGTATTTTTATTACTATTCGATTCGGTCACATGGTTGCAATCCGAATCGAATTAATGATCAGCCCAACAAAACATAGTACCCTAGCCACGTTCGGATCACGTGCTACTGGTGGCACCAACCAATAAAAATACAGTCAAACTTTGATCAGCCCGGCAAACATGAGTATAAAAATACACTAAAAAAATGTCAGAAAGACAATTTTACATATAGTCTTGACTCCAGCTCTAACCCTAACCTTTAACAATACCGGACATCTGCTAGACAGTTTCTAATGAATTACTATTTTCCATCCCAAGTTCTGATTGGTTGAGGATATTAAAGATTAATTTTAGTGTTGGAGTTAGGGCTGTATGTAAAATTTTCCTTCCCCCCCCCTCCCCGGGGACATTTTTGATTAGTACTTCAAGCCAGATTTAAGCATTTGTTTTCCGTATATTTCACATTATTCGCATTTTTAAATTTCTTGTATCTAATTTGTTTTTCCGGTTTGATCAAAAAACTCATGCTTTTTATTAGTTAATCTAGAAAACCCGGTGTACAGTCAACCAACCAGCAATTGAAATTACTTGTATCCAATCAGAACTTGGCAAAAGTGTCAATCACGTGCTTCAAAAACCATTCGACATCCCCTTAATTATAATGCATAGTATTAAAGCGTTTCGATTAAGATTAGGGTTAAATTTAAGTTAAGATTATTCAATAACAAACGTGAACATAATATATAATAAAATTTCGCAAGAAACATTTTTGTTAAACACAAATAATTGTTTCATACAACCTAATTTTTCAAAATTAAGCGCGTTTTCAATTTTTGCGTTACACTTTGATCTTGCGAATTTTGCTGCTATGCGAAAAATTAGAACACAAAAGATAATTTCATAATTTAAATTGAGATACAAGCTTTTACAAAAAAAACGATGATCCAACTTTTTGGTGGATTCCTGAATAGATTTTTTCAAATTAACTGACTAGGCTGAAATTATCACATTATCACCAAATTAATTGGATTTATTTATTAATTTATTATACAAACATACTCATTACATATTTAATATCCCCAATTATAATTATCTGCACTTTGATAAACTTTACCACCCTTTCCACCAACACCTACACCAGCTCCACCTACACCAACACTACCAACAACAGCACCATTACCATTGGTGATACCACCTCCACCGACACCCACACCATCACCGCCATCAGCACTGGCATATTGACTATTGTATTGATCAACGTAGTTAGAAGGATAATAATATCCATACCAGGGCATGGGCATTGGCATTGGCATTGCGTCAGAAGATGTGATAAGACAGATAGCCAAGAACAGAGCAAGTCCAACGATTTTGTTAAAGGTAGTCATGATTATTTTTTATTCGGGTTTCTTTGGTGATTTTCGAATTGTTGTTATTTCGAAAGGTGAAGCATAAAAGTTAAGAGAGCGAATGTTTATTTTATAAGAAAAGTTTGTGTCAAGTACAATAAAAATGGTGTAAATTATATTATTACACCGTTTCTATTGCACACAGCTCAAAAAACGATATTAAGCAATTAGCAACTAAAAATGGCAACATGAAAGACGACAATGAAAATACTAAGAATGGCAATACAAAAGACGACAATGAAAATACTAAGAATGGCAATATGAATGATGACAATGAAAATACTAAGAATGGCAATATGAAAGATAATGAAAATACTAAATATCGGGCATGTCTAAAACCTAGTCCATCCGATCATCAGTCCGAAACACAAACCAATAAGGATGCGTAAATTTTTGATCTACTCGGCAAAACAAATCCGAAGCGCGGGCAAAAACATGAAAAACAGATGCTTAAATCTATTTGGTATACTAATAAAAAATTTCGGCAATTTTATATATAATCTTGATCACAACTCTAACCCTAAGCTTAAAATCAAACTTTAATTATATCACGTGATAGACCAAGCTTTAACGTTTCTTTAATATAGTATCCTAACCACGGCAAACAAAATGTTGATCACGTGATGGTGAGCAGATCCGACTAATAAGAATGTGCAAAAATTCTGCGCAACCAATAGGAATGTAGCAAATTTTTGATCAATCCGGCAAAACAAGCCCGACACAGAAAATAAGACAAAAAATGCGAAAAATACAAAAAAGATATCTAAATCTAGTTGGCACACTATCAAAAAATGTCGAGAAGACAATTTTATATATAACCTTGATCTCAGCTCAAACCCTGAGACTTGATATCTAATATTAATCGTATATTTTAATGTATCATCACGTGACCGACTCTTTTTGCCGTGACTAGAATATTAATAGAAATAGAATCTACGTATTTTGCGTTATACATTGATCTTGCGATTTGATTGGTGAATAAGTTTAAGGATGGTCGGTAAATGAGCATCATTTTATTGGATAAATATCACGTGTCCTAATTTTTTGATGGTTCGCTGGGGGAGTTGCTTTAAAGCATTCTCAAAAAGGGGATCGGTTAAAGCGTAGTCCATCTGATAATCTGTCCGAAAAACAAACCAATGAGGATCGTAAATTTTTAATCAACTTGAAAAAATATGGAAAAGAAGTGCTTAAATCTTTCTTGGAGCACTAATTAAAAATGTCAGGAAGGCAATTTAAATATAACCTTGATCTCCTTCTCAACCCTAACCTTAATCTTAAAATTACCTTTTAATATCACGTGTTGATTTATATCATGTGTCCAATCCATTTTGGTTATGCGCATTTGGTGATCTGCAACCAATAAGAATGCGTAAATTTTTGATCAACTCGGCGATACAATAAGTGGGCTATGCAAGTGGGCTGTGCAAGTGGGCTGTGCAAGTGGGCTGTGCAAGTGGGCTGTGTGCAAGTGGGCTGTGCAAGTGGGCTGTGTGCAAGTGGGCTGTGTACAATGAGAACTGTGTGTAATAAAAATAATTGTACTTGACACAAACTTCTTATAAAATAAACGTTCGCTCTCTTAACTTTTATGCTTCACCTTTCGAAATAACAACAATTCGAAAATCACCAAAGAAACCCGAATAAAAAATAATCATGACTACCTTTAACAAAATCGTTGGACTTGCTCTGTTCTTGGCTATCTGTCTTATCACATCTTCTGACGCAATGCCAATGCCAATGCCCATGCCCTGGTATGGATATTATTATCCTTCTAACTACGTTGATCAATACAATAGTCAATATGCCAGTGCTGATGGCGGTGATGGTGTGGGTGTCGGTGGAGGTGGTATCACCAATGGTAATGGTGCTGTTGTTGGTAGTGTTGGTGTAGGTGGAGCTGGTGTAGGTGTTGGTGGAAAAGGTGGTAAAGTTTATCAAAGTGCATATAATGATAATTGGGGATATTAAATATGTAATGAGTATGTTTGTATAATTAATGAATTAATTGATATGACTAAATCTGGAATAAATTTATTTCCATAATTAAAAATTTCATATAGATGAATTGTATCATGTTAAGTCATCGAATTCCATAATCAATAAATTTGAATTCTTAGTTAAATTTGGTTTAAACATAATTTTGGGAGTTGGCTAAAACCTGGTGGACATGTGACTCGGTTCCTCTAAATTTTCCGCGTACAACTGATAAGGTTAGAATTAGAAAATAAAGTTATAAAATCGTCTTTCAAGACAAGTTTAAGCATTTGTTTTCCGTATTTTTTCATTTTTTGTCTTTGCTTCGAATTGGTTTTGTCGGGTTGATTAAAAATTTACGCATTCTCATTGGTTTGTTTTTCGGACAGATTATCGGATGGACTACGCTTTAACCGATCCCAATTTTGGTAAAATCTGTCTGGTTTGGTATAATTATAATCTGTGCTCGGTTTGCGATCACATGATAACAAACCAATAAGAATGCGCGAATTATGTGTGTCGGATTTGTTTTATCGGGGTGATCAAAAATTTGCGCATCCTTATTAATTTGAACAAAATAAAAGTGTGCATTTGAAACCTTGAAACCACTAGTATTTTTTAAAGTGATTTGAATCAAAATTTACAATTAGTAAATTTTGATTCAAATCACTTTAAAAAATACTAGTGGTTTCAAGGTTTCAAATGCACACTTTTATTTTATTCAAATTAATATTCATAAAATAAAAATTCTAGAAAGTTAATTGTCGTGTTTCGTTACATGTGTGAGCCACTGTATGCTCTGGGATGGTCCGATTTCGTTATTCTATGTGATATTTGATTTTAAATTCTCTTAAACAATGGAGTGCATTATGCGATAATTTTGGAACAATATTTCACGATGTAAACAAAGATATTAATAAAAATTCAGAATTAAATTTCGTACAATTTTTCTTCAAGTAAATTAGACTGGTAAAACTGTTGTAATTGGTTAGTCATTTGATCCAGAAAGGCATTGTTATTGATAAAACGGCATATTGATTGAAAGCGCTTTGTGTTGAATAGTTTAAGGCTACAACGATTGAAGTTAATAGGAAGAAACCATCTCACCTAAAAACCCGAACCATCCAAATTCCCGTCTCAAACCCCTCTCTACCGTCATACTGAACGATATCCGTAGATATCGGCACAGGAATTGAAATCAACGAATATCACTCAGCCTATTCCCTCTCCCCCAATCCATTGTTGCAAGAAAATCGTCGATTACGCCAATCACGATGCGACAATAGCATACTTTTGAAAGTTAATAATACCCGAAGAAGTTTCACAGTAATTGTACTGAGAACAGCATTGATTTGAATGACATCGAGTTCCTTGTGCAGGACCACATTGGCCGTTCGAGCTTACGGGAAGTGAAGAAGACCGTAACCAGTTCCACAATAATCGAAATTTAAACAATGGTCCAATATTAATCCAATTAAAATTCACTTACCCTATTGTGAACAGACTGCCGCATTCTAAAATAATGAAAATTTATTATACTAAAAACTTTGAAAGTATACTAAATTTTCTTTGCATCACACATTAATTATTTCTAAAAAAAAGATTTTTCACGTATTTTCAAGCAAAAAGCCACTTTTAATATACCGTTTTTTAGAAATTCTCACCGATACAACAAATATTCGGTTTTAATGTTTTCATGCAGAATATTTTTTAAAAGAAAATTATTTAGTAAAAAAATTGGTTTTTAAACCGCCCTATACGATAAACAAGTTAACTTATTCTCTATGTATTTTGCTGCACAAACCTTTCCTCCAAGACAAGATATATTCTTGCGCTTTTAATTACACAAAGTTTATCATGCATATTTAATCGCAAAATGAAACTGGAACTTTGTGTTATCATTTTAATGGACATTCGAATTCGCCAACATTCTGTATTTATTAAAGATGAACACAAATATTAGATAATATAGTTTTAATAAGAACCAAAATTTCTCTTTCTCTTAGATAAGATTTCTGGTCAGTGCTTAAGATAGATATTTATATTTGTGTCAATTTTAACAGAAATTGTTATACAATTCTATCAAAGGTAAGAAAAAAAAAGGAATTGCTTCGAAAACTAATCGTCAAGATCCATAGTTCATCTCAACATCGTGAAAAGCTTGTATAACAATCTGAAGCTGTAAAAGTAAAAGAAAAAGAAGTTATTCTTGATGTAAAAACATGCTGGAACTCTACGTTTCTTATATTAGAATGTGCAATAAAGCTTCGTGAGATTTGTAAACTTTTCTGCTTTCTTTTTAAATTATTTTATTTATATTTTAATTTATTATACTTAATAGTTATGACAGTCACAGATAAAAATTAAAGAAAGTGAATGAGAACAGATCAAGAAAATACAAAAGCTTTTGCAAGTTAGTATTAATCATATTAATAATATTTAAATTATATTATATTAAAGATTTTTTGTGCTATAAAACATGTGTTATTAGATCATTATTCTATACTTGCTTTATCAATTCCCATTTATAATTGTTTAATAGATAGACTTGAAAACTTTAAAAAAATTGCAAGTAATAATATCAAGAAAAATATTTAGAAAACAATAGAAAAGCTTGAAACTTATTATATTAAAACAAATTCTTTAGTCTATATAGTTACAATAGGTAAAATATACTAAATTGCTGATAATAAATATATTTTTGTATTAATTAATTTGCTTTTTCAGCTCTTTATTCATAGTTTAAGCTTTATTATCTTGAGAAACATGAATAAAAAAGAAACATATTGATAAAACTAAGAATTTAGTTTCTAAAATCTATAATTTTCAATATGTTCCAACTGATATTATACATTAGATCTTTAAAAAGCTTGGCTCATTAGCTCGTATATGATTCACATATATATAATTTAATTAATAGAATTTAAACTCATATTATTAAATTATATATAAAATTTAAGCTTGAGAAACTCAAAAGTTGACCTGTTAAAAGTCCTATCATATATCAAGAAGTTAATAAAGATAATAATTTGATTATATATATTTACAAAAGATATTATATTGAATAATAAGATAAATTTGAATTTTATTTTAAAGTTCCTTGTACATTCAGAAAAATTGATAGTTTTTAATAGTAAAAAATATGTTAAAGCTATTTCTTTTGTAAAGAATTGGCTTAATTCAAATTTTTGTACTTGTAAATTTATTAGTTTGAATATTTTAATTTGTTATTCTGACAAGAGATTATTTAGATATATTAGATATAAAATTTTTTCTTTATTATTATCTTTATTATAATATAAATGTGTTTTAATTTAGTTATTTTATTTATATACTGTATTTTTTTTAGCAATTAGTACTTTCTTGATAAAATATTATCTTAATAAAATATCCTATACTAATTTTAGTTATAAATTAAATAAAATATAAAGCACTTCTTTTTATAATTCTTAAAATTAACATTATTTAGATCAAAACTAGTATAATTTGAACTAAAGATAATATAGTAATTGTTACAATGTGATAATAAATAAAGTATTATTGTTATAGCAATTCTGGATAGTGGGTTTCACTGAGAATCACTATAAGCATATGATGTTGGGAGAGGGGCGATTAAACTTAAGTAAAG